CCCCGAGAGTTGCCATGTTAATAATGTTATTAAGTCTTCCAGTCCATGAACCTGGTATATCTCTTCATTTATGTATGTCTTAATATTTACCCTAAATAAGGTTTTACTTTCAGTATTAACATATTACACATTTTTAAATGTATTCTTAAGTATTTTATTTTTTTAAATAGTTTCGGAAAATATTTCTGGTATTTTTCTTTAATCTTTTGTAATTTTTATTTTTCAAATTTTAGAGCATGCAAGTGGGGGAGGGAGCAGAGGGATAGAGAAAGAGAATCTTAAAAAGGCTCCACACTCAGTGCAGAGCCTGACACGGGGCTCTGTCTCATGACTGGAACATCATGACCTGAACTGAAATGTAGAGTCAGACACTTGGGGTGTCTGAGTGGCTCAGTCGGTTAAGTATCTGACTTCAGCTCAGGTAATGATCTCATGGTTTGTGAGTTCGAGTCCCTAGTCTGGGCTCTGTGCTGTCAGCACAGAGCCTACTTGAGAAACTTTGTCCTCTTTCCCTCTGCCCCTCTCCTGCTCATGTGTGCACGTGCGCATGCTTTTTCTCTCTCTCTGAAAAATAAATAAGCATTAAAAAAGAAGAGAGAATGGGACACTTAACTGACTGAGCCACCCAGGCGCCACACTCCTTTTCTAATTTTTTAAGATAGAAACTTAGATAGATTTTAGAACATTCCTAATAAATAACTGTAAATGTTGCTTTAAAAAAAATTTTTTTTTTAATGTTTTGTTTATTTCTGAGAGAGAGAGAGAGAGAGAGACAGTGTGAGCAGGGGAGGGTCAGAGAGAGAGGGAGATACAGAATCTGAAACAGGCTCCAGGCTCTGAGCTGGCTGACAACACAGAGCCCTACACAGGGCTCGAACCCACGAACCGTGAGATCATGACCTGAGCCAAAGTCGGACGCTGAACCGACTGAGACACCCAGGCGCCCCTAAATGTTGCCTTAAGTATTGCTTTTAGCTGTATCCTAAAAATTTAGTATGTTGGATTTTCACTATCATTCAGTTCAAAATAGTTTCTAATTTCCCTTGTGATTTTCTTTGACCCTTATATTATTTAGAGCATGTTGTTTAATTTCCAAACATTGGATGTTTTCATAGATATCTTACTGATTTTGTAATTTGACTCCATTATGATCAAAGAACATATTCTGTATCATTTTGATCTTTTATATTTTTTAAATACTTTATTTTTTATTTTAGAGAAAGGACATGAGTGAGCGGGCAGCAGAGAGGGGGAGAGAGAGAGAATCCCACATAGGCTCTCCACTGTCAATGAGGAGCCCAAAGTGGGCCCAAACTCACCTGAAGTGAGGCTTGAACAGAGTGTGAGATGACCTGAGCCAAAGTCGGATGCTTAACTGACTGAGACACCCTGGTGCCCCCATTCTGGTCTTTTAAAATTTACTGTCCCGTGGGCAATGGCCCATTATATGATCTATCCTGATGAATATACCATATACACATAAAAGAATGTGTATTTGGATGTAGTTGGGTGTGGTGGTGAGAAATACCAGTCAGGTCAAGATTGTTTAGATCTGTGGTTTTTCCAGTTATTTTTGTCTATTCGTTCTGTCAGTTGTACATTAATTTTATTTATTTATTTTAATTTTTTAGAGTATGGTTGGCACACAGTGTTACATAAGTTTCAGGTATACAGCATAGTGATTCAGCCTCTCTCCATGTTCCACTCTGCTTACCACAAGTGTCACTACCATCTGTTACCATACAATGTTATTATGATATCATTGACAATATTTTCTATTCTGTGCCGTTTATTCCCATGACTTAGTCATTGCATAACGGGAAGCCTGTATCTACCACTCCCTTTCACCCATTTTGCCCATTTCCCCACCCCCTCCCCTCTGGCAACCATCAGTTTGTCCTCTGTATTTACAGGTCTGATTTCTGCTTTTTGTATGTTTCTTCATTTGTTTTGTTTCTTAGTTTCCAAATATAAGTGAAATCACATGGGATTTGTCTCTGCTGTCCAACTTATTTCGCTCAGCGTAATACCTTCCAGGTCCATCCATGTTGTTGCACGTGGCAAGATCTCAGCCTTTTTGTGGCTGTGTAGTGTCCTATTGCACGTGCACACACATGAGCGTGTATGTACCACGTCCTCTTTATTCATCTATCATCTAAGAAGGACACTTAGTTTGCTTCTACTGTAAATAATGCTGCAGTAAACACAAGGGTGCATATATCTTTTTGAATTAGTGTTTCCAGTTTCTTTGGGTAAATAGCCAGTAATGGAATTATTGTATCATATGGTATTTTGTGTTTTTTTAATACTTTGAGGAAACTTGATACTGTTTTCCACGGTGGCTGTATCAATTTGGATTCCCACCAGTAGTGGTTCCTTTTTCTCTACATCTTCACCAACACTTGTTTGTACATCCAAGGGAGTGGGTTAAGGTAAATTATGGCCGAGCAAACAGATATGGCATTTCCATGTGGAAGAGTGCTATGCAATTTTAAAAAATAATGAGGGGGCTGGTAATGAAAAATAAGAAAATTCTTAATGTACTATTAGAGGAAATAATCTGTAAGATACATTGTTAAGTGAAAAGAGTAAGGTGCGGAGTAGTTTGTATAGTATATTTGGTTTAGAGATGGATGGTGCGTAGGTAGGTAGGTAGACAGGTAGACAGACAGACTATGGAATGAAAGAAGGAGTGAGAGAGTGTGTGGCGTGTCACTGGAAGGAAAGACAAACATGTCTGACAGTGGTTTCCTCTAGGGACAGGTTTGGATGACTGGGCAGTGGGACTTGTAAGGGGCAGACTTGTTTTGGTGTCACTTCCAAAATCTTTTTCTATGAACTTGTAATAGATCCTTACTATTTGGCAAAGAGGGGGAGATTTTGTTTTTTTACTCTATTCTTATATATGTATTATCTAATAAAATAACTTTGAAATATCTTAAATATGCTTTTAGATCTGACTTTATTTCTCCCCTTTTTCCTTTGTTGGTTGTGCAGACTGAGCGCCAGGTATCTCGCTGGTTTGTTCAGTGCCTTCGGGAACAGTCCATGCTGCTGGAAATTATTTTCCTTTATTACGCATACTTTGAGATGGCACCTAGTGACCTGTTGGCATTAACCAAGATGTTTAAAGAGCAAGGATTTGGTAGCAGGCAGACCAACAGGCACCTGGTGGAGGAGACCATGGACCCTTTCGTGGATAGGATTGGGTAAGTCTGTAGGGCTCGTACAGCATCTAGAACATTGATGTTCTGGTTCCTGTGAATGGGTGAGGGGAGAGTCCAGGTGTACTTTTCACTTAATAGGTAGGGAAACCGATGGGTGCACTTCACGTTCCCGGTCTTACAGGGAGTGAAGACTGAGACTGAGCAGGACGTGTTTTCTCAAAATACGTATTCCATTCTCGTCTTTTCCTATCTTCATTTAAGAGGTTCATCCATTCAACAAAAAGTGTGGTGAGAGTCGGTGGCAGGCCAGTGCAAATGCTAAGAAGACAATGACCAGGCAGATGTGTCCCCTGGCCTCTTTGAAGTCATCATCTGTGGACTTTGAATTTTATGGCAGTGAATGTATGAAAATATATTGTTGGTGGCTTTTTGACATAAATGGTATAAGCTTTTACAACTTAATTTTTCACATAACTGGATGTCCTAGAAGTCTTTTCACCTCAGAATGTTCTTCTTAGCTGCTGCGTATTAGTACATGATATGGATGTTTATTTCACGGTTCACCGATGGTAGGCAGTTAGCTCTTTTGGATATTTCAAACAGTGCTTATGAAGAACATTCTTTACAAGGCTCTCTGTGCATCTGGGCAAGTACGACTCTAAAATAAAAATCTAGAAATATAATTGTTGGGTTGAATGGTCTGTGCCTTTGTATTATAAAATATCTGTTGCCAAATTGTTCTCCACAAAGGCTATACCAATTTATCCTTCCACCGACAGCGGGAGGAAAGAACCAGTTTCCTCACAACCTTGCAAACCCTTGATATTATCTATCGTCCCCCCACGTTTGATCCCTTTAATGCACTGGTCTGCCTTTCCCTGGCTATCTGTGACGTGGAGTGTTTTCTTACCTGTTCTTGGTACAGCCTCTGGGCTGAGCTGCCTGTTTGCATCTGTGTCAGTGAGCAGGAGATTCAGCTGCATTTAACAAAAAGGATGATGTTACAGTGGGTAGAATGGATGTATGTCCACATTCTGAGACCTGTTTCCTCTGTAAACAAAGGTACACACCTGAGTGGTGAGATGGTTTATCTGGGTCAGATGTAATTGGTGCCTGTAAAAACTTCCAGTACTGGATCTGTGCTTTGGAAGGCACAAGCCCCACATGACTGTCAAGCACTTTAACTGTGGCTGGTCAAGGGACGCCCAGCTGGCTCAGTTGGTGGTGTGTGTGACTCTTGATCTTTATCATGAGTTTGAGTCCCATGTTGGTTAGAGAGGTTACTTAAATAAAACTTAAAAAAAAAATGTGGGTGGTCAAATTGAAGTGTGCTCAAAGTGTAAAATACATACTGGGTTTAGAAGACTTAGTGTGGAAAAAAATGCATTAAAAACCCATTAATAATTTTTTTGAAAAAAAATTTTTATTTTAAATTATATTTCACCTTCTTCTCCTTTGAGGTTTAGAGTAGAACACGTGCTCATGATACCATTTTCCTTTCAGCTACTTCAGTGCCCTTATCCTGGTGGAAGGCATGGATATTGAATCCTTGCATAAGTGTGCTTTGGATGACAGGAGGGAACTGCACCAGTTTGCCCAGGACGGGCTCATTTGTCAGGTGAACTTTGAACAGCTGCATTTCTCTTTGAAGACCGTTTGTAGTTAGGGGTATGTTTTTAACCCCTCAGCTGTACTGCCCCTTGAAATTTTCCTTGTGGAATTTGAGGTTCTACGTTGTTAAGTTAACTGGATCTGGAAGAAATCTTGGGTTTCGGTTATCTGCACATAGGGGATAGTTGAGTCTGTGAGAATGAGTGGCGTCACTCAGAGAGATGGCATCAGGACAAAAGAGGCCCAAGGACAGAATCTTGGAGCCTGTCTTCATTTGTGGAGCTTGTGCGAGAAGATCAAAGGGAAAGCATGTTGAGATGCGATGGTTAGATAGAAAATGGGGAAAGATCAGAGAAAGTGCAAGAAGGATTGGGAAATTTTCTAAAGAAAATTCCATTCGAACATGTATTTTATAATGTTATATTAGACCAATTGCAATCAGAAGAAAGCAAATATGGGCACATGGAAGAGTAGTGGAGGGGTTTATTAGTTAGGTGGCTGGGGGTGGGGAGGAGTACATACCTGAACGGGGCAAGGGGCCACTGGGCAGTTGGAAGACTTGCTACATGTGACAGAGGATCCCGTGGGGGGCTCTGACCCTTTGTTTTTAGTGACACGGGTTTTGTTTTTTCTTTTCATCAGGATATGGACCGTTTGATGTTGACCTTCGGGGACATTCCACACCATGCCCCAGTGCTTTTGGCCTGGGCTCTCCTCCGTCACACCCTGCATCCAGAAGAGACCGGCAGCGTTGTCCGGAAGATAGGCGGCACAGCCATCCAGATGAACGTATTTCAGTACTTGACTCGACTGCTCCGCTCGCTGGCCAGTGGGGGAAATGATGTGAGGCTCGGGCTGTTGGCGTGTGGGCATGAGATGGGCAGAGCGCAGGGCAGAAGCTCGTTCACTGGTGACGATAGCAGTAATGACGGTTGTGGTGGTGATGTGGGTGATGATGATGATGTCTCTAGCTCTGTAGGGCATCTGGTGTGACTAGACACTGTGCTCAGCGCTTTCTATACGTTGCTTTATTTCATCCTTATGGCACTTAGGAATTTTCATCCTGTTTTACATATTAAGAAATTGAGACTCAGGGAGATGTAACCTGTCCACAAGAACAATAACCACCAGTGAGTGGCAGGTACAGTTTGAACCCGCGGTCTCTGCCTCTGCCTCTGCCTGCCATTACGGGAGACTGTGTCAGTACAGTAATCTGGAAGATAGCTTTGGCCACATTGACTGGAAAAATCTTTTTTGGGAGCTTCCTCATCCACCTCTAGCGGGAGATCAGCCGTTCCCTTGAGGCTGGAGTTTGGGCTTAATTTCAGAGGCACTGGTGTCAGCTTGTGCTGACGTGCTAACGGGAACCCTCGGCCGGCAGACACTGCTGGCTGGCATTGGTTCATTTATCTTGGTGACAGTTCAGGCTGCTGCATTCGTACCAGCACATTGAGACCCTTTATCCTGTTTTCTAGATTGGGTGTGGTTTTCTTCCCCACGGAAACTGATCCATTTTAAAAATGGTTCCGTTTTGATTTTATTCTTGGCTGTGTGTAATATTTATGGTTCCTGCTTTTTCATTTCTCCCCTCATCTTCCTGACCTTGGGACTAAATTAGGGAAATTATAAAGCTTTGGGTTCCCTCATTCGTTTACAGAGACCATATTAATGTGCTAGGATTATGCTGAAGCTGGGGGAAGGGTTTTATTATTCAGAATTGTTCACCGACTCCTTTGCTGTTGCCATTGCAGTGCACCACCAGCACTGCATGCATGTGTGTGTACGGACTGCTGTCTTTCGTCCTCACCTCGCTGGAGCTGCACACGCTGGGCAACCAGCAGGTCAGTACCTGGCTCTTGCGGGGCTGTCTACACTTTCTGGCGCAGCAGTCATGTCCCTGAGATACCCCTTTGGAACTGATATCACACCCACCCACATACCTCTGGTGTTCATTTGGTTGTTGCTGTTTGTTTCCACTTACTGTATTATACGTGATACATATTAATGATAGAAAAATCAGAAGGTGCTGATAAGAAGAAAAAAGTGTAATCCCACCACACAGGACAACTTCTGTTAATATTGTGATGCGTTCCCTTCTAAACATTTTCTGCACATATATGTTAAAAGTATAACCATTCTTCTCTAAAAAATGGAATCACAATGTATATACTGCTTTGTAATCCTCATTTTGAGATTATACATCAGTCCCAGACATCTGTGGGTGCTAATAAAATATTCTTCTGTAATATTTTTAAAACGTGAACATTTCAAAGTTAACAGACTCCTAAACAATCCTATTACCAGCTTCCAAATTATCAACTCACAGCAGATCTTGGTGGTCTTTCCTGCCTTGTTTCTTTTAAAGCAAATCCCTGACATAGTTTTCAACTATGAATTTTCGATGAGCCAGAATAGGAGCTAGTAAAACTTTGGTACCACAGCTAACAAGCCGTATCTTTACATATCATATCAGGGTTTAAATTTCTAGTTAGCTTGTAAATGTCATAGATTTGTTACAAGTTTGTGTGTTTGGATCAGGATCTAAATGAATAAGGTCCACACATTATGGGTTGATAACTCTGCCTAGTTTAGTGCTGTGCACTGTAGTGGACCCAGGCCACATCATTGTCTAGATATTGATGGTCTAGAAACCATTAGTTCCTAGGAGTTACAAAATGGCACTATTGTATCTTTCTTATTTATTGATTGGAGCATTGCTATAAAAAATTTGTTTCAAAATATATGCAAATATTAGATCATTATGTTGTACACATAAAACTAATGTAATGTTATATGTCAATTATACCTCAAAAATTTTTTGCTTTCCTTAGCTATCCGATACTCTGATATAGAGTACTGTACAGGTTTGTTTTCCCATATTTACAAGTTTTCCCTACCATTCTGCGAAGGTGGCTAATGAGGTTTTCAAATTTTTGTATGTCATTGTTGGGGCGCCTGGGTGGCTTAGTCGGTTAAGCGTCCGACTTTCGCTTAGGTCATGATCTCGCGGTTCGTGGGTTCGGGCCCCGCGTCGGGCTCTGTGCTGACTGCCGGCTCAGAGCCTGGAGCCTGTTTCAGTCTGTGACTCCATCTCTCTCTGACCCTCCCCTGCTCACGCTGTCTCTCTCTCTCTCTCCTAGAAATAAATAAAACGTTAAAAAAAAAAAAATTTTGTATGTCATTGTGAACTCATGGGCATAAATGTGTTAGCTGTGTTTTATTTATTTTTTTTTTTTTAATTTATTTCTAGGAGAGAGAGAGAGACAGCGTGAGCAGGGGAGGGTCAGAGAGAGAGGGAGTCACAGACTGAAACAGGCTCCAGGCTCCGAGCTGGCAGTCAGCACAGAGCCCGACGCGGGGCTCGAACCCACGAACCGCGAGATCATGACCTAAGCGAAAGTCGGACGCTTAACCGACTAAGCCACCCAGGCGCCCCTGTTAGCTGTGTTTTAATCCACTGCAGTTGCTATTCTTGGGCTCAAATTGCCCACCTTTGGCCAGTAAGAATTCTTGGAGAAGAGCCTCTCAATCTCTCTGGCACTGTTCCTACGTAGTTTGGTAGCTTGTTGCTTTCTGGTACGACACGCTGTTGTAGAATTATCTTGTAGGATTATCTTATAGGATTCTCACCCCAGACCTGGAATCCGCCGTTTCTCCAACGAAGCCTGATTCCTTTCAGGGGAGAGTGCTGTTTGAGGAGTTCTTTATAACTAAGTCATTGTATTCATTTTTTAATGGCTTGTTTTGGAAATTGAAGGAATTGGTGAAGTTGCAGAAAATGAAACTTTCTTACCATTAGAAGAGAAATTGGTGTTTATTGGGAGACTCCATTTCCAAAGTTCCAGGGGTATAGAATGAACTTTGCATCCTTTGCCAAAATTCTGGTCACATGTGGACCCCAGTGTATGTACCTGGAGGACTGGTATTAACATAGCAAGGCTGTAAGAGTCCTGGCACTTGGGTTTTTTAAAGAAATCGTTCCCAGTGTGTGCCAAGCTCTGTGCTAGGTGCTGAGGATTAAAAACTTGAAAAGGCACTGCTGCCCTCTAGGAGAACAGTTCAGCCTACTTACACCTCACCTTTACTAGCACCTTAACGCTGACAGTTTTCAGTCCGCCGTATTCCATCCTCACAGCAGTACTGTGAAGCAGATAATACTGTCGCCGTTTTACAGATAAAGATTTTGAAGTTCAGAGAGGTTCGCTTGTCTGACACAGCACAACAGGTGCAGTGTACACCCTAGATGGAGTGTAATCTTTTCAAACCCACGGTTCTTTCTGACCTACTATGTGGAAGTATTGTTCTTATTTGAACAAAATACAGTAAAAAGATGTGACTGCTTCAACTACGGAAAATAAGTTATTTTCTTCCCCTTCCCCCAACAGGATGTAATTGACACAGCATGTGAAGTCTTGGCAGACCCTTCTCTTCCGGAACTGTTCTGGGGAACAGTAAGTGTGTCAGAGGGAATTATGCTAAAAGATACTCTTGTAGTAAAAGGATCGTCAGGCACTTAGTTTGTGATAGGTCTGATATTAACCATTTGTGTCATTTTGCCTTTACTCTTTACAGAAATCTATAAAGTAGATAGAATTATCACCATTTTGCATATGAGGAAAGGTGATGCTCAGAGATATGAAGAGACTTGCCTAAGGTCACACAGCTAGATAAACAGCCAGCATGAGGAAGCAGTTCTGGCTGACTGGAGTCATGAGTCTGTATTATTAACCAGCCTGTTCTCTATCCTGCCCACCACGTCTTTTTTCACATTGTTAGTCTCAGGCACCAGTATTGCAGTAACTCTTGAACATGCTACTGGGGGATTAGAACTCTGAGTTTTCGGAATATAATAAGTGGTTAGATAAGAATTTGGCTTCAGAGAGAACAGCTTGTCACCAGTACAGTGGCTTAGCATTAACAGCAGCCTGAAGCCCCAGGGCCCAGCTGATGGATAAATCTGTTCTCTTTTGTACTGGGACTTGACTGATATGCCTGTACGTCTTACCTCTTCTTCCTGAGCCACTCTCCAGTCTCGAACAGTGTTCCTGGGAGAAGGTGGCATGAAACGATATTTAGATTAAGGATCTGTTACGTGTGTGTGGTGGCCAAATGCTAACATTTTATTGGGTGCTTTTCACATTATTGGAAACGTCTCCTGCAATGCTGGATAGCACTGTCTTCCTGTTGGGGGATGGCCAGGAAAGGGTCACTGGAGGCAGTGGTAGTCTGTTCTCAGGTCCTGATAAATCTGAGGTTGAAAGCCATTCTCAGTGGAATCATGGAAGTCTTAAATTGTCAGGGAGGGGTGATGTCTGCCTGAAGGAAAGCACTGGTTTTAGGTTTTCTTATGATAGCTGGGCAGTTTGGAGCTGTGTTAATTCATGGATAGTGTTGAAGGTCAATGATTTCTCTTCTTCCACCACAGGAGCCAACCTCTGGGCTCGGGATCATTCTGGACAGTGTATGTGGGATGTTTCCTCATCTCCTCTCCCCACTCCTGCAGTTGCTACGAGCCCTTGTATCAGGGAAGTCCACAGCCAAAAAGGTATGTTGTTCAGTTAGATGCTTGGATTCAGACTGTGGGAGAGATTTTGGGAAGATGCCACTGCCATGGCAAGAATTAGTCTGAAGTTGAATGAGCAGTGCCAGAGATGGTGCCTCAGTTCTCTAAATTAAGTACCTACCGCAGATACTGAGTGGGACACGGTGTACAGTTCCTAACTGTCTCATTGGAGAGAATAACAATAGATACAAGGAGGAAATAACTGATATGGCCGTGCAGTAAATGTCATCTGAGTGCTAAAGACCTGCTCTTGAGGAGAGTCAGCGGTCTGTGGAGTGAGGGGCCTTGAGCGAAGTGTGAAAACATGCGGAGGGTTGGCAAGGAGCCTAGAGGCAATTCTAAGAAGAGTCACGGTGGCAGGTTTGTGAGAAGTTTGAGAGTCAGACACAGTCTGACTGAAAGAGTAGAATAGCAGATGTGGGTCCCCTTAGGTGTCCCCAAAGTTAGCACGTGGCTGGAGTGTTTTCTCTGTGTTGGCAGGTGTATAGTTTCTTGGATAAGATGTCTTTCTACAATGAACTTTACAAGCACAAGCCCCACGATGTGATCTCCCATGAAGATGGAACTCTCTGGCGGAGGCAAACGTCAAAACTCCTATACCCTCTTGGTGAGATGGAGATACCCTGGCTCAGGAGCCACTTATCCTGAGCTTTGTTTAGACTTCAGTGCTGCTGTTTCATCTGTTTCATGCAAGCTGCCTTTAAAGCAGCTCTTTCTCGGGTTCCAGGGTGGCTCAGTTGGTTAAGTGTCCGACTTCAGCTCTGGTCATGATCTCATGGTTCATGGGTTCCAGCCCCATGTCAGGCTCTGTGCTGACAGCTAGCTCAGAGCCTAGAGCCTGCTTCTGATTCCGTGTCTCCCTCTATCTCTGACCCTCCCCTGCTCACTCTGTCTGTCTGTCTGTGTCTCAAAAATAAATTAATTAATTAAAAACACTAAAAAAAAAAGCAACTCCTTCTCCACTGTGCTTGTTGAGAAATTATTTGCCCATTTCTCACTTTTTTATATCATTAGATTGACCTGAGCCGAAATCAAGAGTCAGATGCCCAACTGACAGAGCAACCCAGATGCCCCAGATTATTTTATTTCAAAAATAACGGGTGTTCATTGTAACAAGAGAAACAGCACAGATATACATTTTACAAAGTTCATCTGTTCAGACTTGACTGTCAGAGAGTCAGTGCTAAGAGCTGGTGTGTGTCCTTGTGCACACTGCATACTCTCATAGATTGATTTTTGTAAGTTGGTGTTCTTATATGTGGATTTGACTCATTCTCTTTTAGTAACTACAGAATTATTCTAGATGTTCCATAATTTTGTATCTTTTCCTTCTAAAGGACATGTAGCACTACAAACAATGCTCCTTTGGGTACTTGTACTTTTATATATGGGTGTTTTTATTTTTAGTGCATAGAGTCCTCAAACTGGGGTTGTCTGGTAAAAGGGCATATATGGTAACAATTTTAAATATTTGTCCACCAACAGATGAAATAGATCAGCAAAATGTGTTATATTTACAGTGGGATATTACTCAGCCTTGAAAGGAAAGGGAATTCTGACACATATGCTATATACATGGGTGAACCCCGCATAGCAGTGTTAGCTAGTGGGATGAGAGTCTGTCCATCTCTGTGTGACTAAGTATTGTTGTCTGGTGTAGGAGTCACTCTTCCCTATGATATCCCTGGATATTAGACTGACTTCTCTTCCTCTCTTCCTTAGGGGGTCAGACCAACCTTCGCATTCCTCAGGGCACAGTAGGCCAAGTGGTGCTGGATGACAGGGCTTACCTGGTGCGCTGGGAGTACTCTTATAGTAGCTGGACCCTCTTTACCTGCGAGATTGAAATGCTATTGCATGTTGTTTCCACTGCAGGTGAGGTCAGCCTGGGGGCATATGACTGGGGAAGAAAAACAGGCATGCTTTGTTGGGGGACAGAGAGTCTCGATAAAATTCAGAACCGTCCAGACTGGGATTGGTGTAGTGTTTATCTGGGAGACTGTTCATTAATCTTAAAGAAACTGCTTGCTCTCTTTCCCCTCAGATGTGATCCAGCACTGCCAGCGGGTCAGACCCATCATTGATCTGGTCCATAAGGTCATCAGCACAGATCTGTCCATAGCAGACTGTCTGCTGCCCATCACATCCCGCATCTACATGCTGCTCCAGCGGTAGGCATCAGCTCACACGTGCCCCGGGTTAAAGTCCACACTTGTGCCTCTGTGGGAAGCCCTGGTGTGATGCTATCCCCAGCTGAGGGCTTTCCTGTTTTTCCATTACTGAGAGGAGGGACTTGGGCAGAGAGAGCTGGAAAATATCTGTGGTGGAACACGTCGTATTCATCTTACTGAGTACAGTGCACTGTTCTCCAACCAGGCTAACGACAGTGATCTCTCCACCGGTGGATGTCATTGCTTCTTGTGTCAATTGCTTGACTGTTTTGGCTTCCCGGAACCCTGCAAAGGTGAGACACACCAATTCTTCAGAATAGCCAAAGGATGTTGCGCTTGGTTTATACCTGGACGTAGGAACGCTGAGCTCTTTTTCCTTCTCAGGTCTGGACTGATCTTCGTCACACAGGCTTTTTACCATTCGTGGCCCACCAGGTCTCCAGCATGAGTCAGATGATCAGGTGAGCCAGCTTTTGGGTTGGGTAGAGCGTCTTCCCCAGAGTACCATCTACGTTTCGGGTCCAGGCTGGCTACGTTACTGTTGGAGAAGCTTCCCAATGGGTGTATTTCTCATGCAGCAGCAACCAGCCAAGGTACATGGGAGTTAGCTTTCTAGGTTGGAGAATCCAGAGCTGTCTGGATCCAGAAACTTGGCTTTCCTTTCCTCAGCTGTAGTCACTCTGTACTTTTCTTTGTTTCATGGCTTTTCGAACTTGCCTGGTAGGACAATTATTTATACACAGGCTCCATTTTCCTACTTGAGCAGTTGCTCCTTGCCCTCTCCTGCTTATTAGACAACGATATTTTCATGATGTTTATTTGACTTTTTTTAACTTTAAACCTCTTGAGGTTGTACGTGTATAAAATACTTTCTTAACTTTCACCTTGGCTATAAAATACCCTGGATTTGATTCACTCTTTTGTAGAGCTTTCGTAAGTTAGGCCCAAGCCATCTAGATACTAAGAATGCTCTGTGATTAGTTTCTTGAAACCTTGAGATTGCCCCATGCTGATTCACTCTGCCTCCCTTTCTCCCCAGTGCCGAGGGCATGAATGCTGGAGGGTACGGAAGCCTCTTGATGAACAGTGAGCAGCCCCAGGGCGAGTATGGGGTCACTGTTGCCTTTCTCCGTTTGATCACCACACTTGTCAAGGTAAAAGCTATTCAGATGGAATCATCTGAACTAGCTTCTCTCCTACTGAAGCCCTTGTCTTTGGGCACAACAGTTGCCCTGACGTTCTGGTGTTAATAGTTTCTCTGTATAGAGTATTTACTATGTGCCAGATTCTACAGCAGGTACTTTATCTGTGTTAATTAATTAATTAAAAATTTAAAGTTTATTTAAATAAAAAATAAAATATTTTATTAAAAAAACAATTTAATTAATTAATTAAAAATTTAAAGTTTATTTATTTTCAGAGAGAGTGCTCAGTGGGGTAGGGGCAGATAGAGAGGGAGAGAGAATCTCTTCCCAAGCAGGTTCCGCACTGTCAGTGCAGAGCCCAATGCTGGGCTTGAAATCGGGAGCTGTGAAATCATGACTTGAGCCGAAATCAAGAGTTGGATGCTTAAGTGACTCAGCCATCCAGGCACCCCTGTTAGTTTATTTAATATTCAGAGGCAGGATGGTATGATGTGGTGACTGTCAAGCTATTTTCACTGTAGCCCAGGGCAATACATACATGTTATATAACCGCCCAGTATACGTGTGTGCGTATACGTGTGTGTGTGTGTATACACGTGTGTATACGTACTCCTGAAGGAAAGTTTCATAATTCATAATTCAGCACTTCTCTAACAATGCAAAAGGCACTCTGGTATTTTCTAACAAGCTGACTTTACAATCCACTAATGGATCACGACTCAGTTGGAAAAATACTGTTGTAGCTTAGATTTTGGAGACAGACAGAATTAGGTGGGCATGTCAGGTTGACCACTTACTAGCTGCATTGGGCTTGGACAAACAGGGAATTTCTTAGAAACTTTGTAAAAAAGGAGTAATAATAAAATCGTCTCTCCTCCTTGGAATTGTTGAGAGGGCCATACACAGGAAGCACTCAGCCCATTTCCTGCCTACAAGAACCAATGAGTGAATGAATGAATGCTTAAAAAGGTAGAAACGGTCCAGAGATAGAGATACAGCTATGTTAATACATAAGTAAAGAATCCCCATTTTTAAGGTGAGGAGACTGTATATTAAGACAAAGAATTGTGAGTAGGAGAGCTCCTTTCCGGTGTCCAGTGATGGGGGGAAGTGAGGTGGGTGGCTGGCATCTTGACAGTGAAATCGGCATTCCCCATTCCTGGCACTCCTACGTCCTTCATGTTTATGGTTGGTACCTCTTCTTTGCCAGATTTAACCTTCCTCTGTCTCCTTCATGGAGGTGCCTTCTGTGACATTGGGACATTGTCTTTTTAAGTCTTTTTTTTCTATTTCAAAGAAACCCACACAGCTTGGACCCAGTTGAACTAGAGTGTTCTGATTTTTTCCCCCTTACTGATGGCCAGGGTTTGCCTAGATTTCCTTTGGACCTGTGGTTTTGGAGTTAAATCTCTGATAGCTGAATGACTTCCTTAAATGGTTTAAGCCCTTACAGCATGGCTTCTCGTAGGGGCAGCTTGGGAGTACCCAGAGCCAAGGGCTGGCGCCCTGTGTCATGTTTGTGCTGAAGGAGATGCTTCCCGGCTACCACAAGTGGCGCTACAACACCCACGGTGTGAGGGAGCAGATTGGTAAGGGATGCGCCAGCAGGGAAGGCCTGAGCAACTCCCGGCTCCCTGCAGGTCTTGTCTTTCCCCTTCTCGGCACGAGGGTCATCACACAATGCCACATAATTCCTGTGTCTTTTCCGGAGTCCAGGTTGCCTGATCCTGGAGCTGATTCATGCGATACTGAACCTGTGCCACGAGGCAGACCTGCACAGCAGGTACGGGGGGGCGGGGGGGGGTGCCCAAGCCGGGTGCTCTTGGAGGCTGCCGCTCCCCAGGGGAAGACACAGGTGCTTCTGCTGTGCGGAGCCATCTCTTCCTTCCAGAGAATTCGGCTGGGCTGAGCCCAGAGCTCAGTACTCTGGAGGTTCTGATTTGCTCTCCACTGGACCGTATCCTTTCTCCCTATGGGTCGAGAAGAGCAAATGAAGTGGGAATGAGATTGTACGCACACACACACACACACACACAAATTATTTTTTATGATCTTTACAAAAGTTACACATATTCATTAGGAAAATAGTGAAAGTGCCCTTCCTAAACCTGTTTCCCAGAGTTGACTATGAAGTTCGTGTGTATTCTACTAGGTGTTTTTCCCTGCTTGTACTAACTGCTCTATAATTTTATGTCCCCGCCACTTCATATAGATCTGTCTTGTTTTAATGGTTCCATGCATTCCATTGTATGGATTAATCATGACTTATTTCAGTAAATATATCCATTAGTCATTAGGACATTTCGATAGCTTCTCTGGGTTGCTTTTAAGATCACGTCTACCTAAGGAAAGTGATCAGAATGCGTTCACCTGGCAAAGAGCTGATCTGTATCACTGATGCCCAGTTGGTTTGGTTTGGACAGTGCCCTTCTCTTGCAGTAATAAACTTGACAGCTCCCTAGTAACTCAGAACGTGTCTGTCTTGCAGTCACAGCCCTAGCCTGCAGTCTGTCTGCATCTGCAGCCTAGCCTACACAGAAGCGGGACAGACTGTCATCAATATCATGGGCATCGGTGTGGACACCATCGACATGGTGATGGCGGCTCAGCCCCGCAGGTGCAGCTCCCTCTTCCCTTCCCCGTTTATCTCAGTGTGTCTGCATGTCCTGAGAATTTCAGTGTGAGTTAACATGCGGTAGCTTTTTAAACACAGCCTTATTTCCCCTAGGATGTAGCCTTTTTGTAATCTAGTGGCTGCTGTGTAGACTGGCACGTAGCAAAGGGAGTTGATTGCTCCTCCTCTCTCCTAGTTTGGACTGGGGCCTCTAACAGAAGCTGTTGAACTCTGGGATTATTGTTGGAATCTAATTCATGAGAGCACATATGTTGCAAATGAAGTCATGTTGTCTGAATCAACTTTGGTTTCCATTTGGCACCCTAGCGATGGGGCAGAGGGCCAGGGGCAGGGCCAGCTGCTGATCAAGACAGTGAAACTGGCATTCTCCATCACCAACAATGTTATTCGGCTGAAACCTCCTTCTAATGTGGTGTCCCCCCTGGAACAGGCTCTCACACAGCACGGTATGTATGGCTCTTCTGACCAGCAGTGCTTCTGCCCACAAGTACGTGCTCAGGCTTTGTTGTTAAAGGCTATCAGTGTTTTCTGACTAATTCCTCAAGGGAATTGGGGAGTGAGCCCCAGTTCCCATACTGGACTTAGAAGCAAGAGGGCTGGACCGTCCTTCATTTCTGCTTCCTGTTGATGACAGATAATAGTTAAGAACCCATGTTCAAAGTCAGACTGCCTTGGCTCACATTTTGACTCTAATCTGGTTACCTTGGGTACATTTTTAAACAACTCTGCCTGGAGTTTCTTGTCTATAAAATAAAGATAATAGTAGTACCTATCTTATATGATTACGACGGAGGTAAGATTACTACGTGTAAGTCACGGAGGGAAGTTCTTGGTACCTGTTAAGTATGAACTATTTTATTTTTTGACCTTACACTACTCATTTAATCCCTTTGGGACTCTGTTACCTCATTTTCAAGTAAGTGTTTAGATAACGTCTAAGATCTACCTTTAACTGTATCATTTTGGGATTTTGAGCATTCTAGTGCAGTTCTTCAATGTGACATCTTTTTCTAACCTGTTTGTTAAGAGATTGCTTTTTTGTTTTTTGTTTTTGTTTTTGTTTTGTTTTTCAAAATGTCCCTCTTTCTGTTCCTAATGAATTGGATTGGGCTATTTACCTCCAAATCCTGCATATCCCCTTGGCTACTGAAAAAAGAGAATGGTGTGGCCACCTGGATTCACTCTCGCCCCCCCCCAAGTACTTGAGGGTAGAAATCCCCTCACATGTGTGAGCCCTTTGGAACAGCAGCCTTGCTTAGGAACTCTTGTAAGGCACACCTGAAGTCTAAGCTGTTTCCTGTGCTGCTTCAGGTGCCCATGGGAACAACCTCATCGCCGTTCTTGCCAAGTACATCTACCACAGACACGACCCTGCTTTGCCACGTCTTGCCATCCAGCTGCTGAAGCGTCTGGCCACGGTAGGGTCCCACTTGATCAGCTGAAGCCCTGGGAAGCTGACTTTGTGCATGAGACCGGCGCTGCCTTATCTCAGGAGAAACAGCTAGCTCGGACCTCTCTGACTCTTAAAGTGACCCAGCCATGTACACATCACACAAATTGTGTTGCCGTTTTATACACCACACCTAAGTTGTGGTTCATGAGGGGTTTTTTTCCCCGCATTACAAAAGACACGCATGCTCATTTTAACGTATTTAAACGTTACAGGTAAATGTAGCATAGAAAGTTAAGGTCCACTCTGATCCCTTCGTTCCGAGACTCCCTGTGAGCAGATCGGTATGAGTTGCCCCACATTCCTTTTTATCTGTGCTTTTGCATTGAGGGCTGTTTGCTGTGCTCTTCTGTTCTTCACAAAAGTAGAATTGCACCGTCCATACTGTTTTGTGACTGGCTTTTTTCACTGAACACCAGGTCTTGCAGTCTTTCCGTGCAGGTACATTTGGGTACTTTATGGTCTTTAATGCTTGCACGACGAGCCACAGAATGGATTCATCCTGATTTTCTTGGACTATTTTTTTACCTTTCACTATTACAAGCAGCGCTGCAGTGAACACTGTTGTCCATAGAACTCCCTAAACTTTTGTTTGCAATTCCTGAATATTATTAGTGAAAATTTTAATTTTTTTAGACATTTCTTTTTTTTTTTTTTATACTTATTTCTAGGAGAGAGAGAGCGTGAGCAGGGGAGGGTCAGAGAGAGAGGGAGTCACACACTGAAACAGGCTCCAGGCTCCTGAGCTGGCAGCCAGCACAGAGCCCGACGCGGGGCTCGAACCCACGAACCGCGAGATCATGACCTAAGCGAAAGTCGGACGCTTAACCGACTAAGCCACCCAGGCGCCCCTTTTTAGACATTTCTAAATTGACCTCCAAAAAGGATTATAACAGTTTATACTCCCCCGCCCCCTTAAAAATTCTTTTTCTAAATGTTTATTTTTGAGAGAGCGCACAAGCGGGTTTAGGGGCAGAGAGATAAGGAGACAGAATCTGAAGCAGGCTCCAGGCTCCAAGCTGTCAGCACAGAGTCCGAAGTGGGGCTCACATCCACAAGCTGTGATAACATGACCTGAGTGGAAGTCGGACACTTAACCGACTGAACCGCCGCCCCCCCTAATTTTTTAATGTAATCTCTACCCCATCATGTGGCTTGAATTCATGACCCTGAGACCAAGAGTCAGACACTACCAACTGAGCCAGCCAGGTGCCCCAACAGTTTATATTCCTAATGCCAAGTCTTACATCCTTGCCACAGTGGCCCATCAGTTTTTTAATCTGTGCTAATCTAATGGGCAAACCAGTATTACCTCATTTTTTATCTTGCATTTATTTTTGTTATTGTGTATTTTTTTTATGTTGATTACCACTTCTTTTGTGAATCATTGGGCATTTTGTGCTGTAGTTTGAAGCAATGTCCCTTTTATCCTGGTGGCACATATTTGGATGTTTCCCTTTCTGCCCATTTTCTGAGAGTCCTCTAGCACCCTTTGCAGGAGCTCGTTGAGGTTCTTCTGGAAGTAGAGCTGTAATTCTCTGTGCTTGGTCTCCACCAGGTGGCCCCAATGTCAGTGTACGCCTGCCTGGGCAGCGACGCGGCTGCCATTCGAGATGCCTTCCTGACCCGACTGCAGAGCAAGATTGAGGACATGCGCATCAAAGTCATGATTCTGGAGTTCCTCACGGTTGCAGTAGAGACTCAGCCGGGCCTCATTGAACTCTTTCTGAATCTGGAGGTGAAGGATGGCAGTGATGGCTCCAAGGTGAGCCCGCACCTGGGATGGAGCTGGCAGGTGGCCCCACGGGTGCACTTGCTGTCAGTGCCCAGGGACTGAACTCTCGCTCCTCTTGCAGGAATTCAGCCTTGGAGTGTGGAGCTGTCTCCATGCGGTGCTGGAGCTGATCGATTCCCAGCAGCAGGACCGCTACTGGTGTCCACCCCTGCTGCATCGAGCGGCCATTGCCTTTCTGCACGCCCTGTGGCAGGACCGGCGGGACAGTGCCATGCTGGTCCTCAGAACTAAGTAAGTCTGGCTCCAGGAGGTATTTACCTCCAAACCTTGTGTCGGTAAAATGAGAGTAACAATACTTCATACTTCAGAGGTTTGTTGTGACAGCTCACTTAGCATATGCGCACAAAGTGCTGAGAGCCTGGTTCAGTGTGTGGGAGCGGCACTCTTAGTCATTTCCTTATGCTGCCGCCGGCAGGTGTCATCCTTAAGGCAGAGGCATGTTTACCTCAAGGTGCCCGCCTTTTCCTGCCTTCTGTGTTCTTGCCTTCTGCTAACTGCTTCAGATCCATTATTCTTGAGAAACAGTAGCTTCAGATGAGAATGACTTGCTCAAGCCCTTGAACTGAACGAGACTCCCTATTCTCTAGAACCCTGTTGGCACAAAGGGAAGGAATATTAAAAAGGCAAACCATGGGAGTCTGCTTCGTTATTCCCCTCCCCCTCTCTTCTTCTTGGGGCTGCGGGACATGTGCAGCGGCACAGCTTGTGAGAATTTACCAGTCAACTCTAGAACATACATATAACATACGATTGTGTTTTTTAACAGGAAAGCATACTTTTACCTATGGAACCCTTTATACTTACATAGTAGCAGGTCACCTGTGAGATACATGTTAAGATTGGGCAGGTAAAACATGTGCAGGTAACCACCCAAGGCAGGTGGACAGAACTTCAAGAAGGAGAAAGAGAGAAAGGATGATTTCCAAATGTATTTTTCTTTCAGACCCAAATTTTGGGAGAATTTAACCAGTCCACTGTTCGGAACCCTCTCTCCTCCCTCAGAAACCTCTGAGGTAAGCTGGGGCGAAGGGTTGGGCAGTGACGGAAAGTCTCGGGGAGGGCAGGCTGGGCTGCAAGAGACTGAGGTGTAGAAAATGGTGTCTCCCCTGATGAAGCGATCAGAGTGTTTTCTTCACCGGAAACTTCTTCCTCAGAGAAGTGCCTGCTTCCTCTCCCTGTGAGGTCTTGCTCGGGAGGGAAAGTGGCACGTCCTGCTCTGTATTGATGGCTCCGTGGTCGTCTCCGGAGACACTGTGGACCTGACACTGCAGATGCCCGTTCACGTTCGATAGGGCTGTGCTTCCTTGTTTCCCAAGTATCAGGTCCCTGCTCTATTACCTCATGGGGGCCACCAGGGAGGAGGTTCTCCTCGTGATTGTATCTGCTCTGCTCTCCCCTCCACAGCCCAGTGTCCTGGAAACCTGTGCCCTCATCATGAAGATAATTTGCTTGGAGATATACTATGTAGTTAAGTGAGTCCTCTCCCCTTTTGAGATTTTAATGAAAGGTTTGTGTGGGGGTTGTGCGGTGGCCTGCCACTGGGTACATGGCTCTTTGAGCCAAGGCAGAGGAGAGAGCTGGTTTGGAGCCATTTATGGAGGGCCTCTGAGTTGTGTCCCTGGCCAGTCCATTGATGGCATTTATGATTGTCAGAGAGTTATTGTGAAGCAAACTCCATGTGCCTGGGATTTCATGGAGGAGGAATCCTGGAAAAGGCCTCAACCTAACCCATTTTGTTGAGCAAGAAGTATGAGCCCCACACAGTGGAGGTGACTGGAGCCGTCTGCCTTTAAGCCCAAGTGAGGTCGCTTTCTCTGCCTCGACAAGGGTCTGTGCCCATCACACTTCTGTCTGCTTTCAAAACCTAATTGTAGGTTTTATTTTTTCCTGACACCCTAGGGGCTCATTAGATCAGTCTTTAAAAGATACACTTAAGAAATTTTCCAGCGAGAAACGCTTTGCCTACTGGTCAGGATACGTCAAGTCGTTGGCAGTTCACACAGCCGACACAGAGGGCAGCAGCTGCACGTCCCTGGTGGAGTATCAGATGCTGGTCTCCGCCTGGAGGATGCTCCTCATCATCGCCACCAGTCACGTAAGAGCCTCCGGGGCAGGGGATGGGGTGGGTTCGCTTTGGTATCCTAGCAACCATGTGCTGGGGTGCCTAACGGTTAAGGCCCCTTGGGATGGAGAATGAATCCGGGATTTTTCCCTGAGCCAGAATGTAACAGTTCTGTGTCTGTAGATGGAGGGCTGCTGGGGGTGTTTAGGGTATAGGATTCAACAAGAGACCCTGAAGGAAAATGCAGAGAAGTAATTGAAGACATTCATAGAACAGTAGCACTTGTAGACACCTCCTGTAGCTGCCCCTACAGCCCAGAACAGGTCTGGGGGGCCGGCCCTTCCTTCGTCTACCTCTCCTGCACGCGTAGAGTCACCCTCTTGGGCGTGTGCCCCGTGGACGCTAGGTAAATATTTGTAGACTGATCAGCAGATAGCTGTGACTGCTGTGGCAGCACCCTCTTCAGGGTTCTAGAAACTGAATTTCCTGGTCTTAGAAAAAGAACAGAGGCCATTGTCTCTGCACTGTGTGTTTACTGAAAGTTGGTTTTTAGAGAGAGAGAGAGTTAGCACTTGAGATGAGTTTGCATTTCTTGTTTACACGCGCGTGTGTGTTTCCACACCGCACTGTCACGTTGTATAATAAGGACTTGGTTTTGAATTGTTTTTCCCTGGAGATCCAGATTAATGTCTTAGCTTCACCAGTAACTACAACTTGGTAGATGTCCCTTGTTCCAAGCATACTCATGTCTTCCATGAGTGACCTGTTCCCAGTGTCCAGCTGCCCACGACTTGGGGACGTTGCTGCATCACGGTGGCTGCAGACCCCTGAGACTGTAGACACACCGGAAGGCTCAGCCACCTTTGGAGAATGATCGGCTCCTCTGCGGATAGCCTGTGTGTCACTTGCCTTTTAGGACCTGCCGGGCAACAGTTGTTTTGTGTTAATTAAGGTGTGATTGACATATGGTGTTCTGGTAGTTTCAGGTGGACAGAGTAATGACTCAGTATCTTTACACATAATAAAATGATTCCCATGTTTAGTCTAGTTACTGTCTCTTAAACGTACGAGGCCATTTCAGTGTTACTAACTATATTTCCGGTGTTGGATGCCATAGGCAGCAGTTCATGGATCGTAGCTCAGAAAATCCTGCCATCCTCTCTCTTCTTCGGAAAACTCTGATTAAGTGTAGGATACTGACCATTCACTTATTCATTTAACAGATATTAACAGAATGTTCCCGGGGGGCCTGGGTGGCTCAGTCGGTTAAGCGTCCGACTTCGGCTCAGGTCATGATCTCATGGTTCGTGGGTTCAAGTCCCGCGTCGGGCTCTGTGCAAACGGCTAGCTCAGAGCCTGGAGCCTGTTTCAGATTCTGTCTCCCTCTCTCTCTGACCCTCCCCTGTTCATGCTATCTGTCTGTCTTTCTCTCTCACAGAAATAAATAAAAAACATCAAAAAAATTAAACAAAACAAACCAGAATGTTCCCCAGGTGTCAGGCACCCGGGATACAGCAGTGAATAAGGCAGAGGAGGTCTTTGGTCTCTTGGGGAGTGGCCCGTGAGGGAGGCAGATTGTAAACAAATTCACAAAGAGATCTAGTTTGAGATGGTGATAATTCACTATGTAGGAGATAATCAGGATGCTGTGGTAGTGAGTGCTTAAGTAGCAGTCAGGGAGGCCTTCTCCGAGGAGATGATGTCCAAACTGAGACCCGATGTGCAAAGGAGCCTTCCAGGTGGAAAGCCTGTGGAGAAGAGTAGTCTAGGCAGATGGCGTCACGTGTGCAGGGGGTCCAGCGTGGAAAAGAGCGTGGTGTGGTTTAAGCAGGAAGAAGTCCTAGGAGGCCAGGAATGGGGGGGGGGGTGCAAGTGGTGATCCCGAAATCAGTTGGACTAGATACTGTGGGGCCTCTTTACGCCCCACAGAGCGGTTTGTATTTCCAGTGTGCTGGAAAGCCTTTGAAGGGTCTGAGAAGAGGGATGTTGTCAGGAGGAGGAGGTGAACCTGACCTGATTTTGGCCGTATCTCAAGGTGGACAGAGAAACAGCTGGCCGGTAATTGGGAAGACCGTGACTAACCAATGACTACTTGCCTGACAGAGGACCCAACGTTTTGTGACTTTTGTAGTCTGGGGAATTTTCCCAAATGACATTTTTTTCCCTGTTCCTTGGCAGGCAGAGGTAATGCACCTGACTGATTCTGCGGTGCGTCGCCAGCTCTTTCTTGATGTGCTTGATGGGACCAAGGCCTTAGTAAGTGTGTCTGAGAGGTTTCTCATTCCTCCCAGGGAGCAGGTCTCACGATAATCAGGATAAGGGGGCCACAGTGCCAAGCTGTGGCTTCTCCCCACGGGCCCACCCCTGCGAGCTCACTGCTGGGAAAGAAGGGCACGAGGCTGAACGGTGCCCTTTGGATGGAGCTCAAATCTCCCAGCCATGTCAGCTCACAGGAAACTGACTTCTGACTGGTCTGCTGTCTCCCCTCAGCTGCTGGTCCCCACCTCCGTGACCTGCCTCCGCCTCGGCTCCATGATGTGCACTCTGCTGCTTATCCTTCTCCGGCAGTGGAAGAGGTGAGCACTGTGCCAGGGGAGGTGGCCTGCTCGCTCCTCTTTACTGGCCCTTCACTTTCCTGAAGGGGAGAAAATGGGTGTGAAACGGGCTGGCTTTCCATCGCTAGCAAATGGGGTAAGGCAGGCTGCCCGGTGGGCATCCTGAGACCGAGCGGGGGCACTTTGTGCCCTTTATTTGGCATGTGTTCTTCCTTCCCTGCCCTGGATTGTTTCTAGAGAGTTAGGTTCTGTGGATGAAATCCTTGTGCCCTTGACGGAGATCCTAGAGGGAGTGCTACAGGCAGACCAGCAGCTCATGGAGAAGACCAAGGCCAAGGTGTTCTCAGCATTCATCACAGTGTTGCAGATGAAGGAGATGAGAGGTGAGGGGCCGAGGGGAGCGGGGGCAGCACTGGCCCCACTGGTAGCTGGCCTGGTGAGGCTTCATCTGGTTTCCAGTCACACATTTCTGCTGTGTGGTTTAAGCTGTTGGTCTTGGAATGCCTGGAAGTCTTCAAGAAAACTCTCCCATCTGTCCCCTCCCCACTCCCCATGAGGGCAGATCCTCTCTCAGCAGCAGCAGCGTCCATTCCCTCTGCCTAGGGAGGGAACCTCGGTATGCAGCGAGAGTTGACATGGTGAGCATGACTGTGTCCCCTCCCTGCCTGTGCTCTGCAGTGAGTGACATCCCCCAGTACTCCCAGCTGGTGCTGAATGTCTGTGAGACCCTCCAGGAAGAGGTGATTGCACTCTTCGACCAGACCCGCCATAGTTTGGCATCAGGTGGTGCCACAGAGGACAAGGACAGCATGGAGACTGATGACTGCTCGCGTCCCCGGCACAAGGACCAGCGTGATGGGGTGAGGGAGTGCCCTGAGGCGCAGGTTGTCCTCACCACGCACAGCCAGCAAGGGCCAACTGCCTGCCCGCCTTGTGCTAGGCCCTGGGGGATGAGTGAATGAGACAGGTCGTCGCTGCACTGGCCCACTTTGCAGCCTGCTGGAGAACGCTAACAAATACGCAGAGACGTGCCGGCAATCCATCATGGCAAGTCCCGTGCAGGAAGAATACTTGGAGAGCACACAGCTTGGGGTTCTTACCTGATCTAGGGGCTCTGTGAGAAGGCACCCTTTCGGCTGTAACTTACAGCACTGGTAGAGTCAGGCAGGGAGAGAGAGCAGGGAAGATTCAGGAGTGAGAACAGGTGGTTTGCTGTGGTACGAGTCCTCTGGCGGCCAGAGGCAAGGCTGCGGTGAGCGAGGCAGTGAGAGGCTGGAGAGCTGGGGGCTGGATGTCCTTAGCAGGGTCTCTGATCTGGGTTTCAGGTGAAAGTGGAAAGGACTCAAGGATTTAAGCAAGGCAAAGAAATGTGGAAAGATCTCCCTGGATGCAGTATAGAAGAATATTTTTCAAACTGTGTTGTGCCTTATTAGTGCGACTTGAAATGAACTCATTTGGTTACAACCAGCGTTTTTTTTAAAACACAATAAGATAAAGTTTAAAAGAAAATATTCTGTGGGTGGAAAGGGTAGGAAAATACATCAACATGTGTATATGGGGACACAGCATAAGAAGTATTTATTCTTGTGTGTCATGGTCAAAAATAAGGTTGAAAAGCCACTGGGGTGAAGAATTGACTGGAGAGGGTCCAGGAGAGTGAAGGCCTGTTCAGGAGGCCGGTGCAGTGGTGCAGCAGGAGGGGTAGAGTTGGGTGCAGTGAGCAGGTGCGACTCTGGAAGGTTGAGCGGTAGTGGGGGGAGGGAGTCCAGAACTGTCACTGGGGGGTGGTTTGTTAGCTCGCACAGCGCTGCTGTGCCCCGGTAGGGGGCGTGGGAACTGAGCAGGTTGGGAGAGACCACGTTTCCATCAAGCTCACTTGGAGACAGGTATGACCGAGTGGGGGGTGGGGCAGCCTGGCGCAGGGCTGCCTGTTGGCTTCCTCCTGCCCCCCCCCCCCCCGCCAGCTTCCTTCCCTCTTGCCCATCTTTACCCCTGGGCCCCAGCAGGTGTGTGTCCTGGGCCTGCACCTGGCCAAGGAGCTGTGCGAGGTGGACGAGGACGGCGACTCATGGCTCCAGGTGACTCGCAGGCTCCCCATCCTGCCAACCCTCTTCACCACTCTGGAGGTGAGCCTTCGCATGAAGCAGAACCTGCATTTCACTGAGGCATCGCTGCATCTGCTCCTCACTCTGGCTCGCACCCAGCAGGTAAGAGGCTGGCCCGTGTGCAGGAGGGAGCCTCCTTGCTTTGCTGGGCGGGTTTCGGCACAGCCGGAGTCTCCCAGGAGCCCTGGTGTGCCTTGAGAGCTCCAGCTGCCCCTGGGCAGGGGACGGCTTCCAGGAGTGGTGGGGCCGGGTAATTCCATCTCATTCCAGGTCTTTCCTTCCCAGGGAGCCACAGCAGTAGCTGGGGCTGGCATCACCCAGAGCATTTGTCTGCCCCTCCTGAGCGTGTACCAGCTTAGTTCCAATGGGACGGTGCAGGTGAGCGCCAATGACTTGCCAGGGGGCCCTGAGTTGGCCAGACTGCAATTTGAGCAGAAACGCGTCCCCATCCTTGTTCTTTCACGTGCCCCGGAAGTGCTCTTCAGATGCACCGGTGGTGTGGACTCCTCACTGGCCCCGTACTGATTTCTAGCAAGAGCTCACATGGCTAGTTAAGGGCAGACCTGATTCTAGAACCCAGATTCCTGTATCTCTGCCTGGTGCCCTTTCCTTGTCATCCCTGGCCTCGGACCCCCTGTGGCCGTGCTGGTCACCAGGCAGTGGCTGTGCCCTTTCTAGGTTTTCTCTTCCAAGCAGCCAGTCTGCCTTAGCTGCTGTGTTGCAAGGAGGCCCTGCTATGCATGTCAGCTGCGTTCATTGGTGCCGCATCCTGATCTTGTCTGCGGTCTGTGTCTTAGACACCTAGCACCTCCCGGAAGTCCCTGGATGCCCCCTCTTGGCCGGGGGTCTACCGCCTGTCCATGTCCTTGATGGAGCGGCTCCTCAAAACCCTGCGCTATAACTTCCTGACCGAGGCCCTGGACTTTGTGGGTGTTCACCAGGAGCGGACCTTACAGGTGACAGGCTGCCAGCATCCTGGGGTGGGGGCTCAGGGTAATAGGGGGTCTGGGCCATCCAGGACCACTCAGAAACTTCTTAGCCAAGAAGTGCCTGATGTGCCATCACCTCAGCGTTTGTCGGTCCAGAACCTGTCCTCCCAATGGGAGGGTAAAGAGCAGGCAGGTCAGGTCCCTGATTCACCCCCTCCTTCCCTGTGTCTCCCCTCTCAGTGCCTCAGTGCGGTGAGGACGGTACAGAGTCTGGCCTGCCTGGAGGAGGCAGACCACACTGTGGGCTTCATCCTGCAGCTCTCCAACTTCATGAAAGAATGGCACTTCCACCTGCCTCAGCTTCTGCGAGATGTCCAGGTGGGGCCTTGAACGTGGTTCCTTGCAAGGGGTCTGGGGAAGTGCTTGGGCACGGGGTGGGGGGCACTGTCTGGGGCACCTCTGGTAAATCGCAGGCACTTGGAACGTGGGCATTTTGCTCAGTGAACACAGGGTTTGTTTTCTTCATGTTGCTCTCCCTGGAGCTATGGTTTTCCTTCGATATGGTAAAGGGCAGCCTTGTAGCTTATGAACTTGGGCTCATTTGGATGGATGTTAGTTCGCATCCCTTAGGAACAGGCCTGCAGCTGGAGGCCAGCAGGGCGATGGTTTGTGGGGTAGGGAAAGAACAGGTTCTGCAGCCAGAAATGCATCCGTCGTTTGTGTGACTTTGGCCAAGTTACTTCACGGTCTCTGAACCTTTTTCTTCCATAAAACGGGAAAATGATCCCTACCTTACTTCTTTACTGAAGAACTGATTTTAGGCATTGAGCTAGGTCCCAGGGAAATCCTTTGCCCCCGTCCGGAGTCGGGCAGACTCCACTCCGTGGCTGTTAAGATTTGCAGCTCGAGAACGCGGGGAGGGGAGCACTGCAGGAGCTCAGGGGAAGTGCACTGGGACCCGGGGGGGGGGGGGGGGGGGGGGGGGGGGGGGGGGGGGGGGGGGGGGGGGGGGGGGGGAGGTGGGGCGTGCTTGCAGGGGCCGCTGCTGAGAGCTCCCCGCCCCCACCCTGCGTCTGCATCCACTGCAGGTAAACCTGGGCTACCTGTGCCAGGCCTGCACCTCCCTCCTGCACAGCCGCAAGATGCTGCAGCACTGCTTGCAGGTAAGCGCGCCCTCCACGCAAGGCTGCCCGCGGGCCCTCAGGCCGGCCTCTCTGGACTCCACCTCCATTTCTTGTCCCCCTCAGCACAAAAACGGGGATGGCATCCCCTCAGCTGTCACCCCCCGAGTTCAGCGGCTCCCCGCCGCCGCCGCCCCCTCCTGCTCTTCTTCCAAGCAGCCCGCTGCTGACACGGAGGCCTCGGAGCAGCGGGCCTTACACACGGTCCAGTACGGACTTCTCAAGATCCTCAGCAGGACCCTGGCGGCCCTGCGCCACTTCACCCCGGACGTCTGCCAGATCCTGCTGGATCAGGTACATGCCGTCCCCTGTGCTGTGTCGCCGGCTGCCCAGTGGCGAGCTGCACAGGCGCTTCTGGGCGCTGTTCCACCCTGCAGGGCCATCTAGGGTCCTGGCTGGGCTCTGGATTGCCCGTCTTGCCTTGCAGTCCCTGGACCTTGCTGAATACAACTTCCTCTTTGCCCTGAGCTTCACCACTCCCACCTTTGACTCAGAAGTGGCCCCCTCCTTCGGGACTCTGCTGGCCACAGTGAACGTGGCCCTAAACATGCTTGGAGAGGTAAGTTGGGTGCCGTCAGATTCTGCCCTCTGAACCCGAGTCTCCCTCCCGGTTTCCTGCGGCAGAACTGTGGCCTCGAGCACGCCCACCTTCCCGAGCCCGGTCCTCTTCCCGAGCCAGCTGGCGGGCCTCCCGGGAGGACTGTGCGGGCTGAGTGAGTAGCTGGCAGACTGCTAGCGCGGGGCTGCCAAGTCGGAGGCTCGCAGCGAGCCGCACCTGTTACTGCCACTTTCTTTTTTCCCCTGGTTTCTCTTCCTCTAGCTGGACAAGAAGAAAGAGCCCCTCACCCAGGCTGTGGGGCTCAGCACACAGGCAGAAGGGACCAGAACACTGAAGTAAGAAGCCCCCCTCTTCTGGAATTTGATATGGGGTCCGGGCAGCCATGGGTCAGCCCTCCTCCTGGCTCAGCGGCGCACTGCACCCCTGCCAGCTTGGCTGTTCGCAACAGGGCCCCCCGCCCTCTCCCCAGGTCCCTCCTGATGTTCACCATGGAAAACTGCTTCTACCTGCTCATCTCCCAGGCCGTGCGCTACCTTAGGGACCCGGCTGTGCACCCCCGGGACAAACAGCGGATGAAACAGGAGCTCAGCTCGGAGTTGGTACAGACGGGTAGAGGGCTCTGACCAGAGGGGCTGGTGGGGTTCCCTGTGGGTTCCCACCGCCCCCCCCCACCTCACAGGGCCCTCATTTAGTACCTTTGCTTTCACAGAGCACGCTGCTCTCCAGCCTCTCGCGCTATTTCCGCCGGGGAGGCCCCAGCTCCCCTGCTGCCGGCGTCCTCCCCTCGCCTCAGGGCAAGTCCACCTCGCTCTCCAAGGGCAGCCCGGAGAGCCAGGAGCCTCTGATCCAGCTAGTGCAGGCCTTCGTGCGGCACGTGCAAAGATAGGGCCTCCCCCACCCCGCCCTGACCCGGCAGGCAGCCTGCACCGCGGTCCCGGACAGTGGGGGTGCTGCCAGCCGGCCCTGTGGCCTGTGTGGACTGAGAGCAGCATCTGTCCCCTCCCCAAGGGCAGTCACGACTCCAGCTGCCCACCCGCTGGCATTATTTTTATAATAGATCAAGAGGCCCACAGCCAGGTGGGAGCCATGAGTCTGCTGCGCTCACACCCTCAAGTTCAAAATGTCCCAGGGGTGTGGTCCTTCCTTTACGCATTCCCCCTTGCACCTGACCCCGGCCCAGCAGAGGCCAGGAGCCGGTGTCCCGTGCAACCAGGAAAGGCTGTGTGCACGGCTCTGAAAATGTTTTCCATGTTCTGTTCTTGCAGTTTTTGGTAATACTGTGGTCTATTTATACAAATATTAAAATACTGTTTATAGACAGCTGTGTGACGTGCCTTCAGGGCCTGGAGACGGGCACGCGGCACTCAGCACTGAGCAAGTGCTCCCCGGCCAGGGGTCTGGGAGAGCGGGCTGTGTACTGATGGCTGACTAGCTGGCCTCCCTCGTTAATGTCTGCAGAAGTGGGGGAGCTGGGCAGACACTGGAATTTTCCCTTCCCGGCCCCTCGGCCCCTCACACCTCACCCCCACCGCACGTGCTTGGTTTACCCGCTGGCTGAGCTTCCCCCAGGTGTAGCCTCTCTTGAAGTTCCACGCCTTCTGATTTCCGGCTCTGCGCCCTGCTCGCCGGCCCCTCCCTGCAGAAGCCCAGGCTGTGGGCCTGCTGGTCTCTGGCCTCCCAGGACCCAGTCACGAGCGTGCTGTGCTTGGTGCTTAACCTGACACCTGGCCTGCAGCCCAAAGCCACCTCCTGAAGTTTCTAGAACAGACTGACCTGCGCTAGAGTCCCTGCGTGGCTACTTGCCAATTACGGAACCTCGAGGAGGTGACTCTCTCTGATCTCTTCTTCCCTTCTCCGTGAGGACAGCATGAGAGCTGGGGGGCGGGGGGTGGGAGGGCCTCAGCGGCTGGCAAGGACCAGCTGGAACCCTCCCGCAAATCTGACCGTCCGCTCCACAGCCCAAATGTGGGAAAGGGTTTCTTAGGAATAAAATGCCTTAACGCAGCCTCGTGTGCAGGAAGAGTAGTCCCATCTGAGCGGCACAGGCCCTGTGGGAGAAAGCGAGGCCCGTGAAGGAAGGAGGAGGAAGCGGCCGTGTGGACGCTTCCCTTTCCCACCCCCAGGGCCAGCCCGACAGGAGCCCAGGCCACATGCACGTGAAGGATGATTTATTGTTTTGTCACTGGCTAGACAGCAAGCAGACGGGCAGAGTAAAAAGATCAGTTAAAAAGTGAGTGTGGAGAGGTGCAGACTGCGGCCACCGAACTTGGCTTGCGGGGGCAGGGGGGAGGGGGAGCACCCAGGAGATGCCGTGCCCCTCGTCCAGCTCATCCAGAGGGGCTGGTCCCCGCCCCCGCGCCCCGCAGACCTGCCCGCCCTCGCCCCACTGTCGCTGTTGGCAACCAAAAGGCAGGTGCTCTTGCCAAGGGCGCAGCCCAGGCTGCTGCAGGCCGAGCGCCGACCCCCGCGGGGGCCCAGGGGCCTGGGGCAGCACTGCAGCCGGCCCCCCCTCCTTGGCAGGAGCGGGAAGGACCGGAGAGCTGGGGTGCTCGGCAGATGCAGGCAGTGCTGGGGGGGGTGCTCCAGAAGCAGGGCTGCGGGGGGCTGGGACCATTCAGCCTCCGGGGCCCCTCACAGCTGGACGACCAGGGGCGTGGACGGAACGGGCCGGTCTCCCCACCCCGGGCAGCGGAGTCACCAACAGACAAGTAGCGGGCCGCACGCGTCCTCTCCTGCCCGGGGCCAGAACGGGGGCGGGGGGCAGTTGGGGGGGGGGCTGCTTAGCTGAGCAGTTCCAAGTAGGTGACCGGGACCTTGCCCTTCTTGTTGCCCCTCTCGCCGATGAGCCAGTCAGGGTCCATGCCCGGCAGGCTGTAGACAGTGATGAGCTGAGGAGGGCAGAGAGGGAAGGTCACACCCTCGCGGGGGCAGAACTGGCACCAGGACCGTGTGGGGACTGGGCTGTCACAGTCCCATGACACGCGGGCATCCGCACGTCCGGAGACCGCAGTTCACCTCCTCACCTGCTCTGCGGGGACCCTGCTTCCCCCCCATCGCGGCTCCCTGGTGCCCGCCCTTTGCCCCCACCCCCGCGGCACCAGGCCTACCTCATCGGCCAGCAGGGCCAACTCACTGCTGTCGGCTGCCTCATAGTCGTAGAGCACCCGGGCCTTGCGCGTGCCGCTGGCCGGCGGGCTCACCTCCTCCAGGCGGAGCGCGGCCTCCCCCGGAGGGGCCAGGCCAGCCACAGAGGGCCCCACGGGCATAGTGGCCGCGGCGGTGGTGGGCGAGGTGCTGCTGAGGGGCGGGGAGGCGGGCTCCGTGGTGCCCACGAAGGTGCCTGGGAATCTGAAGAGGGGTGACGCCTCAGCCGGGGGCCGTGTCCCCGTGGGAGTCCCACACGTTCCACCCCCCCCCCCGCCCTGCCCCGGGTGCCCTGCCGCGACTTACATGGCTCCCTGGGAGCTGGCAGCGTGAGGGGAGAAAAGCAAGGCAAGGGGAACCGTGAGACGCACCACCGCGTCCCTGCTGTCCTCCTCCCACCCAGGCGTCCCCGGGAAACTGCTCTCAGAGGTCCCCAAGGCCAGCCACCTCACTGTCCAGAGAGGGGTGGGATGCCCCCGGCCCGGGGTGCAGCCCTCTACCCGCCCCGTGTGTCGTAGGGCTTCCTGAACTTGGGGTGGGGGGCCAGGGGACCCCGGTGGGCACCTCCCCAGCTGTTTCTGTAAGTCCAGCATGTGGCGGTAGCACTGCGCGTAGTAAGTCGTCTGGGACTCCACAAACTCATGGAGGCAGCGAAGGTGGTTCACCTGCGGGGCGGAGAGCGGTGCCCACGGTGAGCGGGGTGAGCGGTGGCCCAGGCGGTTCGATGCTCCCTTCCCGCCCCACCCCCTTCGGCCCCCCACCCCCGGGCACTTGCTCTGTGGCACTTGGAACAAAGCTAAAGTTCCCCCCTTAGGACCATGGGCTTCAGTGCTGCCCCTCACCACCTGCTTTTTTTTTTTTTTTTTTTTTTCTAGGAGAGAGAGAGAGACAGCTTGAGCAGGGGAGGGTCAGAGAGAGAGGGAGTCACAGACTGAAACAGGCTCCAGGCTCTGAGCTGGCAGTCAGCACGGAGCCCGACGTGGGGCTTGAACCCACGAACCGCGAGATCATGACCTAAGCGAAAGTTGGCCGCTTAACCGACTAAGCCACCCAGGCGCCCCACCTGCTTCTGAGATCCAACTTCATCGCCTGCCTCCTTGTGGACGGCTTGGCGGGAGGGGGGCCGGGGAGGGGGAGATGCAAGACAGGGGATGATGGGAGTGCGATGGGGGGGCAGGACTCACGTGAGTGCTGCTGATTCCCTCCAGCAGGAGCCGGGTCACTTCCGCCTGCCGGTCGAACTCAGTCTGGGCCACCCGGAGCTCCTGCTCGGCCTGGGGAGGGCCCAGTGCGAGAACGTGTGACCGCGGCGGTTGCCCCCTCCCCGCCCGCCAGCCCCTTCCCGCGGCCCCCACGCCCACCAGGAGCAGCCCGCTCCCCCTACTCTGCATGCAGACGGCACCTCCCCTTGGGGACGCACACAGAGGTCTGGGAGGCAGGGGTGCACTTCTCCGGCCTGGAGCCCTGGCTCGTGGGGCAGCTGTAGCCCCGCGGGGGCCCCTCTGGACCTACGCCGTGACCGGTGGTCAGAGACAGACCACCGGGTGCTCGGCCATGACCTCTGACTCCCGGTACCTCACCACCCGACAGCGCCACTCCCATGCGTCCGGGGGGCCCGTGGGGGCAGTCTCCCCACAGAGGGGCAGTGACAGCCTCGGCGGCCCCGACCTGCTGACCCCTCCCCCATCCCGACCCGCTTCAAGCCGCTGCCCCCGAGCCCAGGCTCACCTTGTCCACCTCATCATTCCAGAGCTTCAGAGACGGCAGCAGGACCAGGCAGCAGGGGAGGGAGGGGGCACCGGTCAGCGGGGGAGCAGGGGGAGGACAGCTGGACCCCAGAGCCCACGCCCTGCCCCAGCTCCCCAAGAGCCCACCTCTTCCCACCCCACACCCTTCCCTGCTCCTTGCCCGTAACCCAACCGGGAGCTGAGGCGGGGGCGGGGCCTGGTGTGAGCGGGGGCCCGGACAACCGCGGTCCAGTCCAACATGCCGCATGCAGGGAAGGTGGGGACAGCCAGCTGGGAAGTCCTGCTGGGGTTTCTCCTACAGCGTAAGCCCCCGGGCTCTGGCGGGAGACCGAGCGTCCCCCGTCCCACCCTGATGCTCAGCTAAGGCCGGTGGGCTGGGACGCAGGACCGTGTGACCCTAGGCCAGTCACTGAACCTTTCTGTCCTTCGCCAGAGAAAGGCAGCCTCGTGCCCGAGTCACACTGGGGTTCAATGGCAAAAGAAAAAAACAGGGCGGTCTCCACCCTCCAGGATATTCCTCCTTCCACTCGGCCCAGGAAAGGGGGCAGGAAGTGTCATCCAGAGTCTAAAGAAGAAAGACCCCCCTCCCCCCACCACGACTTAGGAGACCCGGCTCTCCTGCCCCGTGCGGGAGGCCTATCCTAAGATGACGGCCTAAAAGCAAAACAAGGCGAGCCCTGCGGCCCGGGATGTCCCGCCACAGGGCCACGTGGATAACCAAAACGTGGGGCACGTGTGTGCAGAGGACGCCCAGCAAGAGGGGCCTGGTGGAGGGCACGGGGGCCGCCGCCCCAGGGGGACGATGGCCCCGCCACCGCGTGAGTGCACAGTCACGTGCGGCCACACACGGGGACAGAGGCGGCGACGAGCCGGAGGGCCTGTGCCACAGCGTGCCGCCCACGGCAGACATGGGAGGTCGGGGGAGAAGGCAGAAGAGGCACGGCAGTGGTGGCCACGGGAACGATGGGACAGACGTGGTTGGCCCACGCCCCAAACTACAGGCAAACACCTAAAACCCCGACGGAGCCGCGGAGAAGAGAGTCCACGACACCGGAAGCCCACGCGACCCCACCCAGCCCGCCTCCTCCCGAGGGGGCCCCCCACCCTCCCTGCTCGTTCTCTGGGTCTCTCCTTGCTGCCACGACACCGGGCAGATGTGCCAGGGAGGCAGAACATCACCCCCCTCGTCTCCAGTCGGGGGGCGGGGGGCAGGCAGGTGGGCAGGCCTCAGGGCCCCGGGGAGACGGGCCGCTGCCCCCAGCTGCCTGTGCTGTCCTGTCCAGTGCAGCTGGCCCGGCCGCCACCTCCAGCAGGGCGCTCGGGGCGCGGGCGCGGGGTGCAGGCAGGGGGCCAGAGGCGGGGCTGCGGCCCTCCGGGCTCTCGGGACGCGCCCTGTGCTCCTGCGGGCACGGGGAGGCCGGGCGGC